GGCTGCCGCCGCCGCCTCCCTCCCCGGCCCCGCTCCTCACGGTGGAGGGCAACCAAAACACCCCAACCCAACCAAATAAATAATAACAATAATAATCTTAAAAAAAAAAGAAAAGAACGGGAAAGGAACGGAGGGAGCGAGCGAGCGGGAGGGAGGGAGGGAGAAGCGAACCAACTCCGAGACTCCCATAAAGAGAGGCACACACGGAGGTAGCGCCCCGGTGCCGATGCGTGGGGGAAACAATAACTACTCGAAGTTACCTGCCCTGCCGTAGAAGAAGGAGGGTTTGTTGATTCTCTCGCAGACATCTGCAGACCGGTGCTTTTTTGGAAGAGATTTTTTTTTTTTTTTTTACCCCCCCTCTCCTTTCTCTCTCTCTCTCTCTTTACAAACCACAAACGGATGTGAGGCAGGGAAGGTGTTTCTTTGACTACTGAAGTCAGGCACCTCTTTTTTATTCTTCTCGGTCTTGTTGTGTGTTCCCCCCCCCTCCCCTCACACACGCACACACTCACACACACCCCTTTTTGCACCAACATTAACGACCAAAAAAAAAAAAAAAAAAGAAAGAGAGAGAAGTAAAGGAGTTTGCTTGATGTTTTAGTGAAATGGACGTAAGATTTTATTCACCACCTCCTCAGCCTGCAGCCGCTCCTGATACGCCTTGTTTGGGACCTTCCCCCTGCCTGGACCCCTACTATTGCAACAAGGTGACTTCGTGTTTTGTGTCGTCCGAGGTGTTTATATCTGTGCTGTCGATGTGTGCGGCGGCGGCGGCGCGTTTGCATGAGCGGGCGCTGCGCTCCGGCGATCCGCGCACCAAGTTCAGCGGGCGAGGCGGAGGGCAGCGGCACTTGCCGGGGTTTTTTTTGGGGGGGAGGGAGGGGAGAGGGTTTGGGGTGCGCGGTGCTGGCCGCCGGGGAGAGGTGCCGCCGGGACTCACGCCGTCTCCCCTGCAGGCACCCCCAAATTAAAACCCCGGAGTAGTTTTGGGGGCGGGCGGCTGGAGCGGGGGGTG